AAGAATACCTGGTTTAATGACCTCCCAAAAGGTTTGTAAAAATTTGATGATGAATCCATCCGGACCCAAGGCTTTATCCTCATCACAATTTTTCAAACATGACCAGATCTCTTTCTCGGAGAATTTCTCCTCCAGTAGATTTTTCTTAACCTCATCAAGATTGTTGAAATAAAGATTGTCAAGTTTGGGCCTGTAATTAGTACTCTCCTTATACAGTTTCTAAAAATGTGGTTTTGCCCCTTCTTTTAGAACCTCATTACCTTTGATGCACTTGACATCCATATTGAGTTCTTCAACGTAGTTCATTCTTCTTCAATGATTAGCTAACATATGAAAGTATTTGGAGTTTTTATCTCCATCTTTGAGTCAATTTTCTCTTGATTTTTGTTTCCAGGAGGTAGCTTCCATTTGAAGTTTCTTGGCTAAATCAGCTTTCAAGTGACATTTCCTCTCCCTTTCCAGAATATTCAAATTACCAAATCTTCTTTCCTATCCAAGACATCAATTACAGAAATAAAATTTGTTATGCTCTCTTCCTCTTTTCTAGCCGTGTCTCTGGCCAAGTTCTTAATTTCTTGTTTTAGGGATTCTAGCTTGACAACAATTCTGTAACTGATAAAAATCTAAACATGAGTGTTGTTTTATGTATTAGTGACTAAATCTTTAAAACCTTCTACACCCAACCATTTGTTGTCAAGTCTAAACGATACAGTATAGGGCCCCATTTGATACCATCCATGATAAGAGAGATCGGGAAATGACCTGAAGTGGGTCTTGAGAGTACATTTTGATTGACACCTGATAAATCCAGAAGTAACTCGGATGATTTAAGGAATCTATCGATTCTAGAGAAAGATGGTTGGCTTCTTTGATTACTCCAAGTCTATCTTCCACCCTTACGAGGCAAATCGTTTAAATCAAGTTTGTCAAGCAAGGCCCTAAAATCATCGATATCATTATTGGAGTAGTTGCTGCCAGATCTTTCATATCTCCTCAAAATCATGTTGAAATCTCCGCCAACTATACCCTTGATTCCTCATATATTTTTAATGTTAATAATTCCTCTTCAAATAGAAGACGTTTCGAAGAGTTGCTTTTGCAATACACCCCAGAGAAATACCAAGAATTGCTATTGTTGTTAGAAAACAGATAAGCAGAGTTACTTCACCTGCAACGACATTCTGACATTGAACTCTTCTGTTCTCCACATAATTAAAATACCACCAGCGGAGCCTTTAGCAGGGAGAAAATGTCAGCTAATGTCGGTCATTTTTTACAAACTGTGAATAGTTTTTTCAAAAAGTACCTCCATTTTTGTTTCCTGAAGGCAAATGATGGTAGGCTTTCATCTATTCAGGTACCATCTGATTATAACCTTTTTTTATGGTTGTTAAGATCTCTAATGTTTCAAAATATAATTTTCTCAGTCATTTGGGTTGAATGAAAACGGTCTCTGATTCTTTGGATATTTTGTTGCGACCCTCATAATTGATTGACATTTGTAAACGTTTTAGTTCTCTGGATCCACTTTCCGTCTATTTCTTTTTGCTGGAATGCAAGAGTATAGGCTTGCTTTTGCAAATTTCTAGCTTCTTCTTCAACTCAATAAATAAGCTTTTAGCTTCCATTTCATAACCGAAAAAAGAAACCCCAAGATGTTTGCTGACGCAAAAAATATTATGTGTAATCCAATCAGAGAATAATTGAGGGTCATACCTGTGCTTGTCTCTTAGAAGAGCATTGATAGAGTCGATAACATCGGATAGGACCCTGTCATTACCTGAATCTTTAAACCCACCAGTTAGGCATTCATTTTTGGAATGATGCACCACCAATTTGTAGCTCGTACCAGAAAGTAGTTCTTCTTCGAGACTCATAACTGGGCTACATGAGATTTGTTGAGCACCAAACCAGGGGTTTAAGAAAAAGACATTAGCTGTCATGTATCGACAGGAGATTCTAGGGCTCAGATTTTGCAAGACCGAATTCACATCTTTCGTTTAAGGTTCTGATATAATGATCGAAATTGGATTCAGGTTTTTGAGTGCGGATCCTTTTTCTTTTCTCTCCAAGCCCACTTAACTTTCTTGGTGCATTTTAATCGGACTAGCCTTCGATTTGTTCATGTTGCTTGGGCCCACCTTGTTTGTCCATTTCCCTTTTTCAGCCCAAGGGAACCTGGGCTTCTTAGGATGGAGAGTCTTCTTATGGGTTGAAGCAACCATCTTTTGTGTCTTTTTCCCGCTTTTACTTTTTGGTTTTTGAATTTCAAAAATCGGATTTTTGCGGTTTCGAGTCGGGTCGGGTACAGTCGTCATCACCCGCTTAGAGTTAGCGTTGTGGGGTTTCAGAGCATCCGCGTATGATTTCTTCTCTTCTAATGGAATGATGAAGCGATAAGTGTGCTTGCAGTTCAGGCAGCATAAAGATATGTGAGAGGATACAGATTGTACCTGATGAGAGCAGCAAACAGGAGAGATATGATCTGAGTATTTCAAAAAAGGGTTCTTCAAAGGTGTATCAATGAGTTCAAAAATGGCTTTCATAGTGCGCCACCTGGCCTCACAATCATCTAGGATAAAAATTCTTTTAAGAACCTTCTCTTTCTTCTGATAATACAAGATTTCTGCCCTGTCTGTTCCAGACCAAAGCAAGGAAGAGATGACGATGCTGTCCTCTAATATTTCTGCCCCATGAATCTTTGCCTCTGTTCTAATAGAAGTCATTTAGGTTTTCAATCATCCATTCAACTTCTTTTTTGTTGAGAGTTAGAGAAATTTTATTTCCTCTTCCATTTTTGTAGATTCTCATACCGTCAAGCTTCTTTCCATTACAAACGATGTCAAAATATTTTCTCCCGATAAGGACGAAGCATTTGGTATTTTTAGGGAGCACTGAGGGAAGATGGAGAGGCCAACCGACTCAGTCGAAGGTCGACAAGGACAGGTTAATAAGGGTTTGTAAGGTAGCAAGAGAGGAGATAGTAGAGAGTGGAAGGTTGAGAAAGATTGAGAAAGTAGAGAGGATTTTAGAGAGAGGAATTTTTAGAGAGAGAAGGGGACAAAAATCACTTTATAAAAGGACAAAAATCACAAAGAAAAATAGAAAAAAATAAGAAATGAATTCATGTGTAAAACAAATACTGAGAAGTTGGTCTATTTAGAAAGAAATGTGAAATAAGTTAATTAGAAAATTCATTCGAAGCTTAACTTAAATTATTGGTTAGATCCTCTATACAGGTCCTAACCTTAACCACAAAGGAAAACAACTACTAGAAAAACAAATTTAAAGTTTTCAAAAGTTCTTAAAACATTAAAAAACTCAAATGTCCTAAAAAGTACTATTTCCTAATTAGAAAAATGAGAACAAGACTCTTAAAAAAGTACTGTAATCAGCCTTCTTATTTAGGCTTGGAGGATTCTGCATCACTTACCCTTTGGATTTTGACAACAGTTTGGTCTAGAATATGATAAGGCTTGGAAATTTTCGGCTCAGTTATTTGACACTTTCGGTATTTCGTTGGCTTCTTGTCTGAATCTTAAGGGTTTTATTACCTTTCTAATGATACTTATCTTTTTTTACCTACCAAAAAAAAATTCAACTTGGATGAAATTCAATTTAATATAAAATTGCTGAAAGAAGACTTGTCCGGTGAGAGCTCAAACGTGTAATGCAAGAAATTCAATGTAAAACAAACATATAGAGGTAGAAATTCAAATGATCAGGAACTCTACGGGTTCCCAGCTTTCCTTATTTAGAATCAAATAAGTATTTTCAGCATAAAGCCAACTGGGCTATTGGATATAAAAAGATTATCGAGTAATCCATATCTAACACATAAAACATTTCAAAAGGCCTTTCATAAATGATAGATAAATCATCAAGCAGGGTATAAACAAAGTATAATTACTCCATATAACTTTTTGGGATTGAATAAAAATGTAATTTGATAAACAATGTGTAGTCCAATGACCATGTAATGCAATCATGAATTACATTACATTGTTTAGTTACATAAATGTTAATAATAGTATACATTATACATTACTATATATGGTTTATCAAAATTACTTATAGTGAAACAGCAAAGTTAAAGTTACATTAAAATAGTAAAATATTAAGATAATAGTACAAATTATAAAAAATACAGGGAAAATTAGTATAAAATAACAGTATGATCTATTTTCTGGATATTTTAGTTTTACACTATTTCATTATTTTTATTATATTATACTATTTTCTAATTTTTTTTATTATTTTATACTACTGTTCTTTCTTCTAATTTTACACTAATATCTGAATATTTTAAGTAATTTGACATTTTTTACCATTTATACTAGTTCTGAGTATATTTATTATTTTCAAAATATTTATTACTATATCGAGAAAACTATTTAGGCTAAAAAAATATATCTTCAATTGCGAAAATATAACTTATTATCTTTAAAAAGGTTTCCAAAAAAATCCCAACATAAATACAGAAATAAACTAACAATAATTCTTCAAATATCCTTGTTTTGGGTTCAAAGTAACTCTCAGATATCCATTTGATCAGTATAAACACTGAACAAACCAATTAAGTTTTTTTCTTCTCTTAATCACCAAAAAAAAATCACATAATAATGAAAATTCAGTAATGAAATTCACTCCCAAATCCAATTCCAATTACTATACTGATTCCTCAAGAAAATAAACAAAGAAACTTTCTCAGATGGTTTTCGCTAAACAATGAGTTATTATAAGAATGAAAAATAATTTCTCACTGAAAACTTTGTTAGTAAATTTCCTATCAATGCGATCACCATTACCCTAAGTGCAGATAAATCCCAAACTATGTAATCAAGGAGGTTTTTCAATTTTTTTGGTGAAGGATTGTTTAAAGTTTTGATTTCGTTACAAGGATGATTACCACCTATCCAACACGACATCTAATTCACAAGTTTCAGGATGTTAGCACAGTTAATCATAAATATTGTGCATAAGAAAAAGATAAAAGCTACCTTTTTAATTGAAATGGTTGCTTATCTAGAATAGCCGGTTTGTACTTTTGGTTGTCTGAGAAGGAAACCTGGGTAAACATTAGAGTTGGAAATAATCATTAGTTAATTGCAGTCTCATTTAACCGAACATCACAAAGTATTTACATTCATGTTATTTCAGAACTTATTTTGGCCCCTTTTTCCTACTCTCTCTACAACCATCACTAATGCTTTTGTTTTTCTTTTTCTTCTTCAGAGAAGAACTATTCTTTGAATTTTATCAGGTTACAATAAATAAGTAGAGTAGAAGACAAACCCCAGTATGATGGCAACCACAAATTTGCTTTTACAGTTTGCCTAATAGTATGAATAACCTCCACAAAGATTGGTTGCTAGGCCTACCACAGAATAGATTTGGGAAAAGGAACACAGTCTTTTACTGATGTTCAGGATTTTGGATACAGAAGTGAAAGGCAAACAAGCAAAGAGGTTTTCTAAAAAGTACCTCAACAGACTTGATGAATGGTAATTGTGCGTTCAGTCCATGGACACTAGCTACGCGAAGGTTCCAGTTCACATATCGTTCATCTGTAATTAAGGTAAACAGACCATGTCAGAGAGAGATGGATTGAAGCCAGCAATTAATCCATTCTTAGATGTACTTATGGAAGATGTTTCTATAGGATCATGCATCAAACAAGCTGCCTCCATGCATTTGCATACTAAAACATGGAAGCAAGATTTTTAGCTAAAAGTCTTAGAGCAAAGTGTGGTTCAAGATATGTTGTTTGAAACAGAAGTTACCCAAAGAGATAGATAGGGAGTATAATAATGCCGTTTCAAACAAGTACATGAGAATAAGTCATGCAACAAATAGTATTTTAACAGAGATACCTGCACTCAAAGATTGAGTTAGGATGGTCTGGAAAAAATCAATCCTGACATATGGAGGAATCTGCAGATTAAGCAGGTCCATGACTCCTGCAATAACCTGTTAGTGAAATTAACAATCAACTCAAAAGCAAACAGAAACTATTAAAATACATCTAAAGCTGTCTAGTATATATATAGCTGTTGCTTATTACAATACCATGTCTACAAACCCATGAATCACCAAAGATGCATCCTTGTCCTTTGGAGTTTTCTGCAAAGTTGAACAGAACACATTATTTAAACATAGGTGAGGAAGCATACACATTTTTTATGCCCATCTTAAAGAGTTGAACCCCATGAAGACAAGAAAACGATATAAGAACAACTCAAATTTCCCATATCCTCAAGGATTGATAGCATTTTTCACATTAATATTAAATATGTAAAAGGCAAAGTTCCTCAGCCAAACCACAAGGTTGTTTGGGTATCATGTCAAAGGAAGTGCAAATTGACAAATTTCCTATCATTATCAAATCTTATTACACATACTGAAGGAACATCCCAAAAGATATTCACAGACCACTAAGAAGACTACATCCAGAAGCTCAAAATCAAACAAGGCATGCTCCACACACAAACACAAACATGAATCTTGCGTATTATTTCCATCCTCTACGTGAACCCACTTCTTCCTTTTCTCTTTCTTCACTTTTTTTTCTCTTAGTAATTTGCTTTTCAAGTAATGGCTTCAACTTGAATAACTAAGCTTTATCAGGAAAGCGGTAAAGGAATTATTAAAGCAATTGTATACAGCTAACCTGCAGTGCATTTCTCTCCAAAAAAGATAGGATGTAGGCGTTCTGCCTTTTGTGAGTGTTTAGATCCAAAATAACATCCCTAAGGATTGTAGAAACAAAAACTACCTCCAACATATTAAGCAGTGGCGAGTTTATTTATTATCTTTGAGACACAGATAATTACGTATATAAAGAAACAAGAAATAGAATTGCAATTTTTTTAGCTATTAGACAGCATATTTCAGATGAGGATCTTCTGACTGTCGCCAATTGTCCATGTTATAGCTCTTACCTGAAGCAAGAGTCCTAGATGCACTCTAATTTATAGTTTATTTATTAGGTTTTCTATGAACAAGCTCCAAACACACTTGAACAAGGAAAAAATACCTGAAGATTCACAATTACAATCTTCCCTCCACCTCGGAGAGATTTAAGAGGCAGATTGCATGCAGGAGTTATCTGCAAACTGCATAGAGTGATTGTACTCACTATCACCAAACTAAACATGCACAAAAGTATAAAAACAATACATCTAAATCAAACTGTGAAGTTGCTAATTGAAAAACTAAAATGAAAGAATCACAGAGACAGTACTTCATATTCAATTTGATTAACAGTAGGCACTGTTCAGCCAATTACTTGCATAACAAATTTTATGTATGTTCCTGATGTCAATGAACCTAAGTAGTCTGACCAACACCTTAAGCATTTCATAATTGTATCCAAGTTATCCATCTCAGGAGCCTCTATTTCAAAAAAAAAAAAAAGATTATCCATCTCGGAAGCCTGCTTTGACAGGATGGAATTGTTGACAGGTCTACATGCTTTGTGTGTGAATGAGCCAGCATGCATTATTTGAAGCAGTAATTTCTAAAAACATCACAAGAGAGTAAATTTAGCATGCTTTTCCAAACTAATCAGCAAAGAATTGGTCTGCTACTAGATTGAAGAACTTTCTCCTCTGAAGTTACTACATGGAGTTCATTCCTCATATATGATTCATCCAAACTTGAAGATGTATTCTCTGTTTCTTCCTTGTTCACAAAAATTTGACTTACAACATGTAATATCCGTGAAACTTTAAGTTTTATGAATGAAAGCAGTATCCATTTAAAAAAAAAGAAACACCCAAATAAATAATTTGGATGTATTTTGTAGACTCATATTTACCTTGTCCCGAGACAAAGCACAAGATCTGCCATCCTACAGTGCTTCTCTGCTGGGTTCATCTCCTTTGGGGGCAATGCATCCTGAGCAGAGAGACAGAGAAAGAAGTGGGGGGGATTATAAACACTCCCCTAATGGTTTGAAAATATCAGCCACTATAAACTAAGAATTCAAACCTCAGATCACAACCTTGAAAACTAAAAACAACTTGCACCTCCCTGTATAAACTATTCTTTTGTGATTGACATGACTTGATCTATCACTGAAGATTTAGACAGCTGCTAGAACCCAAAATTCTTTTTTAAAGCAATTCTCTCATTTTTGGCCAAACTATACTATGAAATCTCTCATATCAACTCAATATCAACTGATTAGTTCTGGAATTTACCATGCTGGTAGACCTTTTTTCATTCATTAAGGAACTGACTTATTCTAGCATTGTAACAAAACAATGTTTAAAAGAATACCGATATGCAAAAGACATTCATGCCTAGCTGAAATCCAGTAGACGTTTCAACAAAAAACAATACCTCCCAATCTAGAACTGTATCCCTAAGTTTAGCTCCACAATTTTCATTAGAGCATCGTCTTGATGTCTCCTTCAATCCAATTGTTTCCACCTCAAAATCCCGCAAATACCTTCACAAGTTAAACCACAATATAAATATGCATGCTCAACAAAAAAAGGACACAATTGCAACAACATAGTTTTGAAACTGTTAAGTGGGAAAATCAATTAATGACGCAACAAAATAAGAAAATGGCACACTGATCAAGAATATGCCTTACTCAGCTCCACATGAAGGGCAGGCTTCCATAAAAGAATTCCCATGCAGTTCAGCAAGTTTCTCCCTTGGTATTCCAGATCGAAGATGGATGCCATCGACATTCTAAATGTAGAAGCAAAAGGTTATAAATTGAATAGAGAATTTACAATAATTAATTTGCATAATAGATCTATTTAGAATAAACAGGTATGAAAAATATAAAGAAGGCACAAGTGGTTGGTTTATAAGAATTTTATAAATCATTCAAAATATCAATTAGATTCCCAAAATTCTCTTGAGAAAAAAGATAATGATCCTTAGACCAAAAACTCAAGGTATAGAACTATAAATCTCCAGCTCTAGTAAAAGGAGAATTTAAGACCTCAAAAGTCCTTTTGGTTAAGCAAAGAATAAGGAAGATCAGTTTTTCCTATGTTTGGCACCCCTAATGCCCACCATGCCCAAATCCTTTTAGCCATAGAGCCTAACATCGCCAACCTCAGCCCAAAGAAATCCAGGGTGTTAAAGAGTCCCCAGGAGTCTATATCAGATGATCACATGGAAGCATAGAAAGACTTATTTAAATGGCTAAGTATTTTATTTCTAATTACTTATATATCTTTAGATAGTTAGAAGCTATTAAATCTATCAATTTATCTTCAATTTTATTTTTGAAGACAATGTCATCAGTTATTTTTTTAGATAAAAAAAATGTAGTATAAATTAAATGGATGGCGCCAAGGAGATGCGACCCAGTTACAAATATATTTACAAATCTGTTAGTAAATCAATTACATTCCTAAAATTCTCTACCCTATAAATGTCATGAGCCAAAATCAAAGAGCCAAAAATGTGTAACCATCTGTTCATAACTTTTAACATCTCACCCTCAATCTCCTCAAAATCTCTAACATTTCTCTCCTTCCACACCACCTAAAAAATAAAGAAATAAGTTTTAGATAAACTTTTTTTTTACATATCCCCACCCCCCCTCCCAAGCCCAAAGTGCATCCTCACCGATCTCGCAAGCACACAATTGATCCCCAAGAGGTCATACACCACAGTCGGAGTACTATACACCATCGAACACCGGAGAAGAATGTGGTTGCAAGATTCAGCAGCCTTCTTGCATAAATAGCAGCCATGTACCGTAGTTTTACCCCTTTTCATCAGATTATCAGTAGTTAAGATGCATTCTCTTCTCACTTCTCAATAAAAAAAGATATGCTTGGGGAAACTTTAACCTTCCAAATTAGGTTAACCGGGAAGTGTACCATCCCCATCCCTTCTCTTATGGCCAAATAATTGTAGAATGACTTGACAGTGAACTCCCCTTGTTTCTTCAATTTCCATCCAACCTGGTCCTTGTTTTCATGTACTTGAATATCGGATAAGATATGTAACAATGCGATGTGATTCCAAGAAGGTCTAAGCAAACCCCCAAAAAGGTGTCCCACAAGAAGCAGGAAACTCAAGGAATTCAAAATTCCCGCGGGGAAATTGGTGCAAACCCACGGATGCGCAAGTGAGAGAATGCGCGCACTCAGCATGCAAGGCTACGCACGCAGCACGCCAGGCCGCACGCACAGCAAGCCATCTGCGCACGCATAAGAGCAGCATGTATACGGCCAGCGCGCATTGCAGGGCAATGCGCGCGGAAGGGAAATCCCACGCCCACAAGGATTCCTAATCCCACGGGGAAATGGATTCCTACCCTACTTTGGATTTCTGCTATTTCAAAGACAAAAAGGAAACTGCTTTTTGAAACTCCCAAGTTTCCAAAATTGTTTCCAGCCCAAGAATCATCCAATAGGGCCCAAGGGAGCAGGCCCAAAGAACTCGAGTTGAAGAATCAAAGGTCCCTTGGCCTTGCCCTAGGGAATCGGCCCAAAAGGGCTATCCAAGGCCCAAGCCAATTGGTTCAAAGATGCCTAAGCCCAAGTTCAGTCTTGGAGGTCCAAGATTCGGCAAGAAGCCGTCCAAGAAAGCAAGGGGGCACTTGGCCTTTGGCCCGCATGGCCAAGAATAGAGTGGAGAGGCGAAGCCCGCTGGCATGGCAAAGGACACTTTACTTAGCCTTGCCAAAACTGAAGAGAATCAAACCTCCATGGCCAACATGAAGAAGAAACAAGAAGAACAAGTCAAAAAGGGTTCAGCCAAAGGAATTCTAGAAAGAAAGAGGCCAAGAAACCAAGACGAAAGAGGAGACCGCATGGAGGAAGCCAACCCCGAGAGGGAAAGCCGACTCCCTCTCCCATAACAAGGCCAAATCTCATAAGGATTCCCCTTCTCTAAGGGTGAATCTGAGCTTGAATAGTGAACACAAACAAGGACCTTAATTTCCAAGAGAAAAGAAGAAGAATTCCTTCAACTTCAAGCTTATCCAACTCAAATTCCTGTCAAGAAAATACTAAAGAATAAAGAACTCAAAGCCAAATGAATTAAGGAGATTCAACCCGACAAGGAATCAATGGTCGGCTATGAGAGAGGTAGTAATCTACTTAATATTTTATTGTTTTAATTGTTATTTCATGTATTATTTTAATGTTTCCTACTCTAAGTTAGATTAAGAATTTAAGTAGAACTATATAATCCTACTTCTAGTCACATCAATCACATGTAATCTATATAAAGAGCTCACCACTAGGTTGTAAAAACACAATTTAGAACTTTCAAAGATTAATAAAATTAAGAATATTTAGTTGAATATTTTCTTCAAATCTTACTTTTAAGCTTCGACTTGAGTGAGTGTTCAATCAGAAGGGTGCTCTAACCATTTTGTTGAGCTAGGAAATCGAATCAACTAATCAGGTAAATTGTGGTATCTTTTTCATTCCTACTTTATTTTCCAGTTATCTTGGTTTGCATTCAAATTGTTGAATATGGTTCAAATGGGAATGGTTAATTAGGGAATTAAGATTTCTGAACGTTTATGTTTGTGTGAGGTTTACAAGTGTCAAAAAGATCTTGACCTGCCCGCATCACAATGTCTCATACTCTTCAATCTCCCGATCATCAAGGTTTCTTGTCACATTCACATTCCACTCCCTAATCTCATTCCCCGATATATAGGCTTCCTCCACCACCATATTTTTAGACTATGCAATGGCAAAAACCCTGGGGAATTGATCTTTAAGCCTTCCACTTCCAATCCATTCATCCAACTAGAAACAGATTTTGTCCCCCCTTCCTCAACTTCCAATTGATGCATTCATGAAATTTTTGTTTCCCCATCCCTATTTTCCTCCAAAGCCCAATACCATGCGGTCTAGCCACATCCCTATAAGAGCCACCAACATCAACAATTTCCCACAAAGCCTTAACTACACTCTTCCACAACCTCCCCTCTTCCTCATATGCCTCCAAAGTCATGTTTCCTTGTAGAGCATTTATCTCAACAAAAAATCTAAAGCCCAAACCTTCCTGCTTCGCCCAAACCTCCCTGCTCTAACGACGACTTCACATCATCCCACTTCATAGGATGATATATTCTTCTCCCATCTTCATCCGCCCAAAGAAATTGATATTGAATATTTTCCAGTTTCTTTGCAATTTTCACAAGAATTGCTAAAACAAATTAAAGTTTTAGAGAATGGAAATTCTACTTCTGCTTATCATTTCCATCACCATAAGATATCAATTTATAGGAAAAATACAACCAAATTCTAACAAAAACCTAACAAAATTCTAACAACTTTATGGGAAGGAAGAATAACAAAATCGGTTATACCTCACCAACTTTGTAATTACGTCCACTAGGCTAAATACTAGGCTAATAACAACAAAAAAATAAAAACTGAATTGAATCTTTTATTTTTTACACTCCCTCTCAATCTAGTTTACGTATATGTTGAGTAAACCTAGATTGGATGATATGTCATCAAACATCCTTTTTGGAAGAGCCTTTGTTAGGATGTCTGCAATCTGTTGACTAATTAGAATGTACATGAGTGTTATAGTGCCATCTTCTAACTTCTCTTTGATAAAGTGACGATCAATCTCCACATGTTTGGTTCTATCATGGTGTACAGAATTCTTGACCATATTGATGGTTGATTGATTATCACATCAAACTTTCATAGGAATGTTGTTAGGAACCTTTAGTTCGACAAGTATCCTTCTTAGCCACATACCTTCACATATACCATGGGCAAGTGCCCCAAACTCATATTCTACACTGGTATGAGATACAACTGACTATTTCTTACTGCCTCAGGTGACCAAATTTCCCCAAACATAAATACAATACCCTAATGTAGATCGTCTATTATTTATTGAGCCTGCTCAATCTGCATCAGTATAGATTTCAACATCTTTTTTCACTGTCTTTTGAAAGAACAATTCTTATCCTGAAGTCATCTTTAGGTATCTTAAAATTCGATATATAGCTTTCATGTATTCCTCAGTTGGCTGATTCATGAATTGATTTACTATACTTAACTGCAAAACTAATGTCGGGTCTTGTATGTACTAGGTAGATGAGCTTCCCAACTAGTCTTTGATACTTTTCTTTATCAACTGTTTTATCACTAATTTCGGATCCATGTTTGATGGTTGGATTCATAGGAGTGTCAGCAGGCTTACTTCCTAACATCCCAGTCTCCTTCAGAAGATCTAGAATATATTTTCGTTGAGATACCAAAATTTCCTTCTTGGATCTAGCCACCTTCATTCCGAGGAAGTACTTTAGTACTTCGATATCTTTAATTTCAAATTCTTTGATTAAGAATTCTTTGAGCTTCTGAATCTCCTCAATATGATCTTCTGTAAGGATAATATCATCTACATATACAATCAAGATAGCTTTCTTATCCGAGGTACAATGCTTGACAAATAATGTATGATCAAATTGACATTGCTCATATCCTTCTCTTTTTACTGCTCTTGTGAATCTATCAAACTATACCCTTAGAGATTGCTTTAAACCATAAAGTGACTTTTTCAGTTTGTATACTTTCTGAGAACTGTCTGTAGTTCAAATACTGGTGGTATGTCCATATACACTTCTTCCTCTAGATCACCATTAAGAAATGCATTCTTCACATCTAACTGACAGAGTAGTCAATCAAGATTAGAGACGAGTGAGAGAAGTACCCGAATTGTATTGTGTTTGCCTAACGTAG